GAAAAAAATGTATGAGGAAGTTATCAAATTGTTTGCCATTGGATATGTTTGCATAACTCTCTGTGTGTCACCTTAGTGTTTTTTAATGAAGGCCACACTGCTTGTTGGGGCTTTTGGTGAAAGTTCTTTCATTTAAGGATACTTAATAGAGGAGCCAAGTTCTAAGTTTGTGTTGATGTAAGAGAAAGATCATTGTATAGGGGAGTTTGAGTGAGAACGATGAGATCCTGATAGTGTAAGTCCCTGGAAAGTACTGAAAATTAGTGGGAAAAGTTCAGAATTTCAGGGCTATGTAATTGATGGGGTCAAAGCTGAGATCTGTAAGGGCTGAAGAAAGACACAGCCAATATCTGGGTATGTTTATAAAAACTAGAGAATTATTCCACAGTATATGTGCATGATGAGAATGTGTAGGTAGAACAAACACAGGTCAAAGAAAAGTAGGGGGATTAAGCTGGCACAGGATTGATGGAGGGTCTGCTTCACAGGCTATTGGAGGGAGGGGCAGTGGGTTCACCTTCAAATAGTACCCTCCCCAACTCTAAACAGACTTTGGGACTGCTCTATCACTCCGTGATGCAGACGTGAAACTCTGCTCCAGAGTATTTACTTTCAATTTTAAGCTCTTTAAGCCTAAAAGTAGAGTCTTTCAAATAACGGAGAAGGATTTGTTGTTGTTGTTGTTTAAGTTCTGAGGACACTTAGTACACTGGGACTGAACTCGAGCGGGATTCCGTGCAGCATTGATTCCATTTTCTACTTTCTGTGTGAGTTGGTGCTCTTCCTCCTGCTTCCCTTCCACCTTGAGGGGAAACCATTTTAATCAATATTTGATAAAATCAGAGACATAAATCAGGCAAAGAAAACCTAGAATCTGTCCCATACAGGGTCTAACCTTTGCTTGTTTCTCTTCCCATTTCATAAAATCAATTATGTTAATGCTGAACACACAGTGAGATGAGAAATCTCAGGAGATAGTAGAACATTATCCTTCTAGAGAACCAGGTTGGGCAGTGCAGTTATCAGATTGAGAAATAGGGCTTTCGTCCCAAACTTGCAAGTTATTTGTGTGTGGTAGATGGCTCCAGGAAAATCCTACAGAGTGTTTCAGTGGCTCTGAATGAGCTTAAGAGAGTGCAGGATCCCTACAGGAAAGAGTCTAAAAGCACTTAATAAGTCAATCTCCCATATAAAAGGTCTCTGGGGCCTTTGTGATAGGGCTGATATGAAGAGCAATATAGAGTCCTAAAAGGCTATGATTGCAGGATGAAGCCCTGGCCTCCTTGATATTTATCCGAGGTAGTTGAGAGGTTATAACCACAAAAAAACCCTGCATAGGAATGTTTATAGCAGCTTTATTCATGATTGCCAATACTTGAAAGCAACCAAGGTGTCTTTTGGTAGGTGATGAATAAATAAAACTGTGATACATCCAGACAATGGAATAATATTCAGTGCTAAAAAAAAAAAAAAAAAGAGCTATCAAGCCATGAAAGGACATGGAGGAACCAAAAATCCATGTTACTAAGTGAAAGAAGACAATCTGAAAGGGCTACATACTATGATTCCAACTATATGACACTTTGGAAAAGCTAAAACTATTGGAGACAGTAAAACAACCTGTGGTTTCCAGAAGTTGGAGATGGGGGAGGGATGAATAGGCATAGCACAGAAGATTTTTAGGGCAGTGAAAATACTCTGTATGATACTATAATGATGAATACATATCATTATGCATTTGTCCAAACCCATAGAAGTACAACACAAAGAGAGAACTTTAATGTAAACTATGAACTTCGGGTGACTATAATGTGTCCCTGTAGATTCATCTATTATAACAATTGTACCACTCTCATATTGGGGAAGGCTGTGCATGTACAGAGGCAGGGAAATCTCTGTACCTTCCTCTCAATTTTGCTGTGAACCTAAAACTTCTCTAAGAAATAGTCTTTAAAGAAATGAATAGGTAAGGGCTGCCTGGTTAGCTTAGTTGGTTAGAGCATGGTGTTATAACACCAAGATCGAGGATTTGGATCCCCCTACTGGCCAGCTGCCAAAAATGAATGAATGAATGAACGAATGATTTGACAATCCATACAGATAACTTTCTTTATTTGAGTTTTTTTTTTTTTTTTGTCTTTTTTTCCGTGTCCGGCAACGGATACGCAACCCTCAGTGTTGCCCCCGTACCGGACCAGGGACCGGCAACGGGATTGCAAACCTCGGTGTTGCTCCCGCGCCTCGCTCAGCCAGTGAGCGGGAGCCGGTCTGTATGTGGGATCCGAACCCTCGGGCGGCATGCGCCGCCACGCTTCCCAAGCGGCGCACTATCCAGTGCGCCACCGGGCCGGCCCTATTTGAGTTTTTCAAGGAAGGAAAAATATAAAATACCTTTATCTGCCTTACAATGAATAATAGAGAAGGAACATAGACCTCCATTAGTTTATTGGAGAAAGACAGAGTATTCATGAGTGACAAATGTCTACAACTTGCCTAGAGAAAGGAGAGTGAGAATTGGGTCTTACTCTTGTTTTTTCTTTTCTTGTCTTTCAGTGCCAATCAGAGGCAAAAAGAATGAAACCTTGGTATTACTTTTTCTTAGCTAGAGTCTTTGGGGTCCAACTACCGTCTCATCTCTTATCATTTTCTTCCATTGCTCAACATGAAGTTAGCACTGTGTTGCCCTTTTGGGCCCCAGGATAGTCCCACTCTGCTAGATTTTGTCCACAATGCTGGAAGTGAAGTGGTGGAAGTCTCTCTGCTCTCCTCCTTAGTCTGAGGGCCTCTGTGACCCCATAGGCTATGTCAGAGGAAATCACTTCAGGGTCCTTCAGCCCTCCTCACCCACAGGGAAGGGTACAGAGAAAGGACTATCAGTATGAGAACTGAGATGTCTAGGATCACCTAGCTTCCTGACCTACCTGAGGGTTTTCTCCAAGGAACTTGATAACATCCACTCTGGAGTAAGTCTCAAAATATGGGTGGGTGAGGAAGGAAAAGTAGATGGTGGAATGGGCCAGAATCATCCTCTCAAATTAAAGTTTATATATTGTATTAGTCAGGGTTCTCCAGAGAGACAGAATCGATAGGATATGTTATAATTACATGAGAGGTATTTATTAGGGGAATTAGCTCACGCGACTGTGAAGAAAAGTCCCACGATAGGCCGTCTATAAACTGGATGCTGGTAGCGTGGTTCAGTCCACATCCAAAGGCCTCAAAACCAGGGAAGCTGATGGTGTCCTTGGTGTAAGTCCTGGAACACAAAAGCTGAAGAGTCTTGAGCTCTGATGACCATGGACAGGAGAGAAGAGTGTATCCCAGCTCCAGTGGATAGAGAGAGAGCTTCACCTCTTTCCTCTGTTTTTTGTTCTCTCCGGACCCCCAGAGTCCACTCAGACTCTCATACTAATCTCTGCTGGAAACGCCCTCACAGATGCTCCTAAAAAGATAGCTTTACCAGGTTTCTGAGCATTCCTTCGTTTAACCAAGTTGTCACCTAGAATTAACCTTCACCTGTATTAAAGCACTTGGAGAGATAAATTCCACCTTTGCCACACACAGCACTATAGTTTGCTTCTAGCACCTGTCAAAGGGAGTGAACCAAGGAAGGGGAGCTCTGAAGAGGCACTAAAATAATATCACTGACCTGCAGGGGGAGCCAAATTTCTGGCTTCCAAGAGGGGATGAAACTTCCCAGAAAGGGGCAATGTATGCTTTACAGCAAGCCCTGAGTGATGCATAATCAAAGAGACCCCACCCTGATGAGTCGTCCCAACTTCACGCCCAAGTGCACCTTCTGGGTTTCCTTCAGGTGCTTCTGACATATTTCTCCTTTGAGCTCCTTGCTAAGTCATTCCCTTAGTGACCAGTCAAGTCACTCTTTGTCTCCTTCTCAGAGTCATTTCCCAGACTCTCCACTAGGTAGGTTAATCAATCTCTTGATGAGTTATCTAATGGGCCCTTCCCAAGGGGGGGAATGTTCTAAGCCCTTTCTCAGGTTCTTCCCTAGCTGGAAATTTGCTGTACCTCTCACATCGGAGCCTCCTGGGTTCCTTCACCCATTCTTCTTCAGATACTTGATGCTTCAGCCCTGAAACACACAGGGTCATGGTTATTTTCCCTGAGGTTGTATAAGTGCCAGAGACTCTTAGATCTTGCTGACCTAAACCCTCTGGTGATGAATGTATTACTCTTTTGAAAGTAATACTCCAGCTGCTTCCAGATCTCCTTGCTGATATGAAAGAGTACAGACAGGAAGAGTGGATATTGGCATAAAGATTGGGAGGCCCGGGTGTACTGGGAACAGTCAGTGTCTGGAGGACTAAAGGTTTTCTGATATTTTTGGATCATGGAGAGTGAACCCCATAACTTTTCAGCTGCTTCTGAAACATTTGCCATTCCAGGTGTTAAATTTCAGTTGTGAGAGACTCTTCTTCATTCTGTGCTCTAGGGAAAGATACTTCACAGGTCTTGAATGGATAGAGAAATCAGAGGGAGTGAGATAGAGGATCAAAGGTCTATACCTGAGTTTGACATAGAAGCTGTGGCAGTGGCAGTATTCTAAGCAAGAACTGGAGCAGCAGTTTAGAGTAAGGCAGGGCTGGGATTGTGAAAGTACTGGGTGGTTATTCAGCCTGTATTAGGACTAGGGGAGTGTTAGATATGGAATAGGGGAAGACTTCAGTGGAGAACACTTACCAGAGACTAGGACGGTAGCCACCAATGACTTACTATGTAGAGGAAAGAGACGCCTGAAGTTCTGCTGTTCACAGTCTATAAGATTTTGGGACATTGGAGTTACTAAGGACTGTGCAGCTGCTCTGGTTTTTCTAGGATTCTCCAGAAAGGTTGATGGCTGTGATGTCCAGCTCTTTGGTAAGTGACTCTAAATTATTTTCAGAATTCACATACCCTCAGTTGTTTTGCAAATGATCTCTCTTTATATTATTTCCCCTTAAAAATCTGAAAATCCCTTCCCTTTATGATTGTATTTCCAGGTGCTACTGGACAACAGAATAAGGAAAAAGGAGTTACCAACTTTGATATGCCTGGTTGTAGCATCACTCCATAGAGAAGCCTCAGATGGACAAAGAATAAGAGCTGTTGCTGGCAATCACAGTATATACAAGTGAGAAGGAACAAATCCTCGCTGATGCTTGCATCCAGAAGGCTGAAATGGTCAGGCATTGATGGACAGAACAAGGAAAATCAACAGGGGTTCTCAGGAGATAAGAGTTCAAGGACAATGTTCTGCAAGTTTGGAATCAAGGCAGACTGTGTCAGAGTTAAAGTGTGCCTGGCGATGGTGAAGCACAGAGTATTAGGGAGGTGAAAGGAAAAACCAGTCAGTGGGACCCTGACCAGATAGGCCAGGTTGGGAAGAGATCAATATCATCAGAGAGTGAAGAGTCAGGTGAAGGGTGGGTCCAGAAACAACGTGAGGTTTGGTTGGGTAATCAGATCCAGCAACTGAATGGACTCCCGAGGCAGAAGATGCTCTATTAAAATATGAGATCCAGTGTCAAAATGAGTTCTGATAGCAGAGAGGTGCCTCATGGTGAGCATAAATAAAAAGGAAATGAGGAGGAGATTTGGTCTGTGGCATAATAAAAATATATATTTGGTCTTTGTCCCCAGTTCCTGGCATAGAGCTCCTAAAACTCTTGGAATCTCTTGAGTGATGAGTCTCTTTTGTATGCCAATGAAATGATTCATAAAAAGGAGGTCTAGATAGCCTTAAGATGGGGGCTGGTCACCAGAACGACCAAGCCATGATTAGAGGATTGGAACCTTCAGTCCCACCTCCATCCCTTACCCCCAACCACTGGGGAGTGTAGGCAGCTGGAGATTGAGTTCAATCATCAGTGGACAAGAATTTAATCAATCATAATGAAACATAATGAAACCCCCCATAAACCTCCTAAACTGCTGGGTTTGGAGAGCTTCCAGGTTGATGAAGACACCCATGAGTGCCCTGAGAAGGCATGGAAACTCCGTGCACCTCCCCTTTCCCCCATCCTTTAGTCTATGAATCTCTTTCATTTGGCCATTCCTGAGTTGTCCTTTATAATAAACCAGTAAATATAAGTAAAGTGTTTTCCTGAATTCTGTGTGTCATTCTAATGAATTATCACACCTGAGAGGGGCCTGTGGGAACCCTTCATTTATTGCCTGTTGGTCAGAAGCATGGGTAGCCCCTGGAACTTGCTACTGGCATCTGAAGTGGGGGCAGTGTTGTGAGACTGAACCTTTAACCTGTGGGATCTTGTACTAACTCTGAGAGTTAGTGTCAGAATTGAATTGAATTTTTGGACACCCAGTTGGTGTCACAGAATTGGAGGACTGGTGTAATAAGAGAGAGAGAGAGAAAAAAAAAAAAAAACCCACACAGGGTCTATAAGGGCAGATGACAGAAAGAAGTCAGAGTTACAGACAACCCAGACAGAGGAGCTGCGGAGCATCTTGCACTGGCTCTCCAAGAGCAGAAGATAAATTTCCCCAGACACCTACTGACCTCTGGAAGCCAAAGGGACACAGAGCATCTTGCACTGGCTCTCCAAGAGCAGAAGATAAATTTCCCCAGACACCTACTGACCTCCTCACAGCAACAGGTGTCTTGGTGCAACTGTTGTGAAATGCCTGTCTCAACAAAAAGCTTGCCAAGTAGACTGAATGACATAAGAGGAACAAGCTGCAGCCAGGAAGCAGAATGGAAAAGAGGGCCTGGCACACCTGCCAGAAGTCAATGTCCCTCGTCCTTGACCTCATGTGTGCCTTTTATCTATAACCCCAAGCTAACTTTCACTTTCTCTTTCCTATAGCACCTTACCTAGGTTCCTCTCCCATGTCGACCCCAGGCTACAAAGAGGCCCTAGAACTGCATAGCCCCCTGGTAGATAAAGGGAAATAGAAGAGAAGTAGGAAAGATTAATCAGCTTTTTCATAGAGAAATCAGGTCCCTAGTTACCTCAGCTTTTTTTCAGCAAGCTCTCCAAGGTAGGATAAAGGGGCTCTGGTTACTTGTAATGAAGTTAGTGTTGGAGTCAGCAGGACTGAAACCATGTTGGGACTTAAAACCACTTGGGCTATAGGCAAAGTTTAGAAAGGACAGTTTGTTTTTTTTTTTTCTCCACGCTTTCTTCCCACCCCCTGACTTTCTCATCTTGCTTGCTAAATAGGAAAACAAGGCTGAGAAAGCTAATTAGTACTTTGCAAAGCTAACAGTTCTTTCTTTGAGACTTGTAGAGTTTTGAGAAGTGAACAAGGCCAATGACTGGGAGCTGACCTTGGGTTCCAGCCATGTCAACGAGAGCTCTGTGAAGCAAAACTATGCAAAAGACTGCAGAAAAGATGATTTTACTCCAGAGCAAATCAAAATCTTGCAGGTCCCTAAGATAACAGCGAAGATGAGAACAGAAACCAGATGAGGCCTTGGCAAGACCTTGTACCTGACTCATAGACACAGACCCCTCATAGCTCACATCGTCTTCTCTCCTGCTTTTCACTTCCCCTGTTGCATTTCCTCTGGCTCCATCTCCTCAGTAAACCTGAGTCCTTGAGATGGCTTTAGTCTGGCCATTCTCCTTCAGGTTTACGGGAGAGATGGGTTAACCTAACATCTCTCCTCAGGTCAGCAGTGTTCCTGAATAAAAGCTGACTTCTATTTTCACCAACATCTGACTTTTGATTGGTTTGCTTTTGTCTGGGGGCAGGCAACCGGACCTGTGAGTTCAATATCAATTTTGGGGAGCCTCAGCCGGGAGCTAAGTGTGCCCTGTAACATTAGCAGCAAAGGAGTCTTATAAGAAAATAAGAAGAATGGCCTTTTGGGAGTAGATTCTTGCAAGGTTAGACTTTGAGGGTCTGAGGAATTAGGATGCATCAAATGGTCTACACATATAACAGGAAGGCTCACCCATGTACAGTGATTTGTAGTTACTAAATTCCATCATATGTGGTATCCCCTGTGAGACTCACATTATGCCTGTAATTATACAGGCCAGGAGGAAGAGTGTATGACTTAGGAGGTTAAACAATGTGCCCAAGTAAGGTCATGGAAGTTCTTTCTCCAAAACTAACCAATAGCCCTCCCACTACATCTCACGCTACCTGCTGACTCGTAAGACACATTGCAGGCCTCCATCATTCAGTTCCCCCGCACAATGGGAGAACTGTCCGAAGTTCTGACTCCTTTCTATGGTCTTTTTAAGGCTCTGCTTTCTGAGAGGGTCAGAGCCAGAAACTGACATCCTCAGATACAGGGAACCTGTGATCCCAGGAAAAGAGCAGATAAAGGGGTAACCTTTGGAGAGCCCAGGGCCGAACATGCAGACCCACCTATGTCATTCTGTTTTCCTTTTGTTGACACTGAAAGACAAACAAAGAATAAAAAGCCACAACCCAATTTTCAATTTCCTCTCTCTAAGCAAACTGCAGATTTATTATTTATAAATACACTGCTTTTCTCCATCAAAGTAATGAAGGTCTGTATTAGTTCCATATTATTCATTTTCAAAGTAGATTTAAAAAGTTTATAGTTGTCCTTCCTTGAGAAACTCAAATAAAAAGGCTGACCTGTATGTAGTCCTCAATTGATTTTTTTTTTTACAGTCAGTGGTCCTTTGCTGTGACCCACAGGAATGCAATGCTCTGTGATATAGAATGATTTTCCCTGAGACCAGAGCTTCATATTTCACATGTAATCATGGGCTTTAAGAGGTTCTGCATTGCTCCTTAGATCAGCACCATCACAAAAGCTTAGCCTAGAGACCCCTGACATGGAAAGGTGACTTATGAATAAATGATGTTGGGCTCTGCTCTCTTGCAAGGATCCTGTACCCCCTTAATAATCTTCTCCAGGAACCATTGAAACACTCTGGAGTTTTTCCTGGAGATGTTCTCTACATATACATAAATTGAAAGTTTTGGACAAAAGCTCTGTTTCTCACTCTGAACCATATCCTGCCCAATCTTATTCTCTAGGGGGATGATATTCTACCTTCTCCTGAGAGTCTGATCTCAGGTGTCTCTTGCACTGACATTATTAATTTAGTAAAGTAAGAAGAAAAACAGGTAAATGTCAGTTTAAGCTGGTGGAAAGGCATAGTGTTCTCTTACTTGACTGATGTCTCCAATTTTCTTGAATATTGATAAAAATTGATTCCTCTTTAGATGGTAGGAAAACAAAAGATCCATCCCAGACATAAGGTAAAAAATGGAATATATACTACATGGAATCCAGATTGAGTTCAGCCATGGGGCACTAAGTGTCCTCAGATCAAAGAAATAGTTCTCCATTATCTGAAGTGCACAGTTGTTGGCTCTGCTGTCTGAAGCAGCCACACACTGAAAGTGTGCATTCCAGTCTAGAGTTCCAGGCCTGCATCACAGAGTAGTGCAACAGTGAAGAGTTCTTTAGGGTGGGAGAAGAGATAAGAAGGAGAACGTGAGCCCTGCCTGCCTCTCCTCCTGCCATTGAGTCTAGCCAACCCCATCACATTTCTGAAAACAATTCAATCCCTCCACTCTTCTCTGGGCCTCCATTTGTTTCACTTCCATCCTCTTATCATATCAAACATATTCTTTGGTACAATTCTATTCCATGTATATAGCAAATATCATATAGGTCTGGCACCACTCTTAGAGAGCTGGCCTTTAACCCCTTCAATCTATGACCTTGAAAGTCTAGAGTTTTCTCACCAATTTTTGCTATTTCCCAGGGATTTATACTCTCAGGATCTATTATGTCCTCTATTCAGGCTTCCTAGTACATTATGTCTTTGCTTTAATTTAGCACAGTCCATCCTTCTAATGTCCCCAAAAGAAACCTCTTTCATAGAAAAGATTTAGTGAGTCATGAAGGCTTTATTAAAGATCCTGTATGGCTGACAGAGAAAGAGAGAGAGAGAGAAAGAGCGAGAGAGAGAGATGCCAGCCAGTACCATGCGAAAAAATTTAATAATGTCATAGTAATTATTTTTCTTCTAAATCTCTTCTGGGCTACTCTGCCAGTGAGGACTCACCACTCTTCCCCCTCTACCTATGAAAGTCTCTCACCCTGCTATCCTGCTCTTCTTTCTTCCATCTCTCCCCCAACATTTTATATTCTCCATTTTTATAGGTCAATTATCTCCCAAATCCATCCCACAATCTGTACACTTAAACCCACATTGATTTGGAGAATGAAAGAGTCATCAACATAATTTAACCTCTTAAGAGTGCAGTTAGTTATATATGGAAGTATAATTTTGTTTTCTTTGAGGTTTTTTTTTTTCTTTTTTGTGACCAGTAAGGGGATTGCAACCCTTGGCTTGGTGTTGTCCACACCGCGCTCAGCCAGTGAGCGCACAGGCCATCCCTATATAGGATCCGAACCTGCGGTGGGAGCGCCACTGCACTCCCAGCGCTACACTCTCCCGAGTGCACCACGGGGTCGGCCCTTCTTTGAGTTTTTTTAAACCACTTTATTGATGTATGATAGACATACAAAAAGCTGTAGATACTTAATGTGCATAACTTGATATGTTTGGAGGTAAATATACATCCACAAACCTATTATCACAATCAACACCATAAACTTACCAATCACTTCCAAAAGTTTCCTCCCACTCCCTTTGTTGTTTTAGTTTTGACAAATAGTTTATGCTTGTGGCAGGATCTATACTTCTTTTACGTGACTTATCTCTCTTCCTCATATATTGTTAAAAATCTATTCTTCTCTAGATGATAAAAAAAACAGAAGGAGCTCAGCCAACAGAAAAGATAGAAAATAGAATCTATGATATATGGAAACCAGCTTGAGTTCAGCCAACTTGAAAGCTGGTTTTTCCTTAACAACAATCTACCATATTAGAAAATTTTTAAATTTACGATACTATTATTAAGCATAAGCTCTATGTTGTACAGTAGATCTCCAGAGCTTATTTATCTTTCTTGACTGAAACCTCAGCATTTTTGACCAACACCATATCATTTGCCCCTCTCCCCAGCCCCTGGCAACCACCACTTGCTTTCTGCCTCTGTGAGTCTGACTATTTTAGATTCCAAAATAAGTGAGATCACACACTATTTGTCTTTCTGTTTCTGTCTTATT